AGTCCCGCTGCAGTCGTCGACAACGACGACGACGACAACGACGACGACGACGACGACGGCCACGGCCACGGCCACGGCGACGGTGGACGACGACGCACTGCGGATGCTCCATGGGAGGGGGGGCAGGATGCTGCGTAGGCGGCACGCTTTAGTCGACGACGACGACGACGAAGACGACGATGACGACGGCACGTCAGTGTTCATCGTGGGAGGGTGGGTGGACCACTTTGCATCGGATGTATACGATCCGTGCAACAACTGCTATACAAGGAGGCTGCCGTGCAGGACTGTGCACGATCTCGCGACGACCCCCTGGCGCGTGTGATTAAAACTGTCTCGCGCCCCGCGGGGTCTATTCGTGAGCTCCGGGGGGGGGGAAGTCATATCCTAATCACAAACTGACATTCGGGGGAGGAGGACAAACGTACATTACGGGAAGGAGGAGGAGGATGCAGAGCAGGGAGAGCAGGAAGAAGTTGGAGGGGGCGCCCCCCTCCCCACCTCCTCCTCCCCTTCCCCCCTCCCGTTCGCTCTCCTGCCAGTGGCGGCGCGCACCATGGGGCTGGGGCCCAGCGATCGGCCCGCCAGGAGAGCAGGGGGGAGGCCCCCTGGCGCCGCAGGAAGGCCTCCACGGGCGCGCAGGCGCACCCCCCACGCCTCTCCAGGAGCGAGCACCTGACGCCCTGTGCTGTTCGCGGGACTGTTCTTCGCGCCGCGCGTGTCCGCCTCTCCTCCTCGCCCTCCGCCGCCAACCCCCCCCCCAGTTCGTGCCGTGCCTTGGAGTGCTCCTGCCGCGCTGCGGCGCAAAACGCTCTTTCGCGGAGGCCTTCGGAAGTCCACTCAGACTTCTGGGGTCCCAGGCGGGACCCTCCTGACCCAGGACGCGCGAAGCGCGCCAGGGGCGGCGCCGGAGGCGCCGCCAAGGGGTCCATCGCCGACCCACATATGCTGTTTTGTTGTGTTCTTCCGGTACTGTGCTCAACGGGAAGATCACCCAATCGAAAAGGTCCCGGGGCAAACCCCCGGACAACCCATGCTAATTAATGTCGTTAAGACGGCCTGCCCTGGACAACCCTTTGGACCTTTGGACAACCACGCGGCGATCTGGAGGACCCCACTTGGGCAGGCCTCCCAGGGATTTTCTTCCATGAAATCTGGTACCCGAGCCTGAGGCCGCCAGGACCACGCTTGAAATGCTGTGCGTTCGAGCGCAGCTCCCTCCTCCGTCCTCCTACGCGGCCGCTCCAGTTATGTTGCATTGGCATCGGTGCGCCATTGGGTGTCGCCTGATAGGGGGGGTACATGAGGGGGGGAGAAATGTGCACTTCTCGGGCCCTCAAGGCCCCCTTGGGGCCCTAAAGGGCCCCTTCGGGGGCCCTACGGGGCCCATTCTCTCCAGCCCTCTCTGCCCCCCCCCCCCCCATGCATCGCCCCACCCCTCGTGACGCGACGCCCAACGCAATAAGCTCGGCCACGTGCAAGATGTTGCTATGCGACGCTTCGTGTCTTCATGTCGCCGCTGAACAACAATTCATTCTGCCCATCTGCGCGCTGCATGTCCACCCTTCTCTTCTCCCTCCTGTCCGACACCCCAGGCCCCAGGCTGCCTGGATTGCGCCCGCGAGGCCAGTCAGGCGGATCCCGGTGCCCTTGTCGTTCTTGCAGACGTTGGCTGTCAGGCCCGTCTGGTCCTGCGTTCGGCGGGCGGGATGTGATATCACTCGCGCGTTCGACTGTGGACCCCTGCTGTCCATCCTGTCCATCCAGAGGAACAGGAAACTGCATGGGCATGAACTTTCGAAGCTCCGCGTGGATGTCTTGGCTCGGCGCCTCTGGTGCCGCCACTGGCGCGCTCCGCGGGCCAGGGAAGTGGGGCTCAGTTCCAAGTGCCCTGAGGGGCTCACACCCTTGGGGCGCTGGAGTGCAGACGCTCGGACCAAGACGAGCAGTGGCACTCCCGCTCTCCGATCAGGGCCTGGCGTCCGAGCAGCTGCTCGCAGATCCTCCTCTTCCCGCCCCACCTCCCAGGCCACAGCCTGCCCCTCACCTCTGAGGTCAACGGGGGGCATCGCGCTCCGCATCGTCCTCCTCCTGATCGATTTCTACTCGCACTCCTGCTCCTGGTCGTGCTGCCCTGTTACTCCTCCTTGTACTCGCAGCGTCCTGTGACAGCGCCGTGGGATCCATCATCTGAGTGTCCACCCCATCGAAGGCACATCCGACTCACCCTCATCCAATTCCTTATTCTGCTCATCTCCTCCCTCCTCCGTCAATACTGTTGCTCCTGCAGTTCGTAGTCCCCACCCTGCTGGCTGCTCACACTGCCTCGACGAATGATACTACTCCTGCCCATGCTCGTTATGCGAACCATACCTATACATCGGTGTATGCTCTGACTTCTATGTGTTCTCGTATTTCACTACTCCTATTGCTATCCCAACCAGAATCCCTGCGTGCTCAGATTCATCCTCGTACTCCTCGGTCCACGTAGCTTGTAGCATCATCTTCGCAAATACATCTACTGCATTCACCAGTTGGGAACGCGTTCCAGTCCGAATGCCGATGTGTGCCGCAATTGATTCTGATGATATGGAGGACTGGGTGGGACGGGAAGGGGCGGGGCCCGCTGACTCGGTTGACCTGGCTACCTTGACACAGTATCCAACTCCTATACCTTGTCTGGCATATCTATATGTATGTATGTATATATATATATAGATACATACATGTGTACATATCTATATATATATACATGTATTCCGACTTCCACCTGCACATATCTGGAAATTCGTATTCGTGTATAGGGTTTCTCCGTGCGGTCTGGGCATAGGTTCAGCCTCATGATATTCCCCGCCCCTTCTCCACATTCCGAATCACTCCTCTCTTCCTCGCTCGTCAGACGAACCCCTGCTGATGCGAATCCTCCTCGTCCTTCTTCCCGTCCTCGCTCACCACCCTGTGCATGCCTACGCCTCTCCTCCTCGCGTCCTCCCCTGTCCCAGCCACCCCACGCCTCCTCTTCTGCCTGTCCCTCCTCCTGTCTGCCGTGGCCCCCCTTCCTCCTCGTCAGGCACCCTCAAGTATCACATTTTCGGCACTGCTCCGTCCCCCTCCGCCCATCGCAGACATGAAACAAAAGCACGGCGGCGGAAGCAACCACTCGTACAAATGGCTGAACCAGCCCCAGCACTAAAGTGGCAGCACCCAAGTCAGAACTCCGCCGACGCTGACGGCGGCTTGTCTGTTAGAGTCTTCGTCTGCGTCAGTCGTCGTCTCCGTCGTCCCCGTTGCCTGCACCCTCCTCCTCACGCTTGCCAGCGAACAAACATTTAGCAATGTCGTCATCGAGTCGGACGGATGCCCCTTCCCTTTGATCCCTCCCCGTCGCGGGCCCCTCGGGGTCCTGGGGCCTCAGAAAATACTAAGACAGGCCAAGAGTGCCCCAAGAGACCCCCGAGATGGTCCAAAAGGGTCTCCAATCGCCAAACGAACGGTCCAAAACGCTGTCACGACCTCCAGACTGCCCAGGAGGCCTCCAGGACGCCCCACGAGAACTCCCGAGAGGGCCTCAAGAGGTCAAGTTCATCGATTTCCCGCTGCAATTCCACCCCAGAGGCCCCCGAGAGCCGTCCGAAGAGACCCCAAGAAGCATCCCCGAGGACTCTGGCCAACGTCAGCGTCGTCGTCGTCGTCGCCGCCATTGCTGTGGTCATCGTCGTCGTCGTCTCCCTTCAGAGTCGGCGGCACCGGCCGTAAGGCTTCGCAATATAATGAACTGTTCAACTAGTTTACGCGTGTATCCATCTGGATCGTGCCCGACAACACAAACTGAAACGATAGGACGTGACATATTGAATGACAGTCGAACCAGGAGCATACCTGGCCGGATGCCGGATTCCCCCTCCCCTCCAAAAAAATTCGAGGATCTTCGAGGCGGCATGTCGATTGAGAAGGCTGTGAGACCCTCTTCCTCGAGGCCCGAGGATCCATTTCTTTCTGGGCGCCGAGGCGCTGTCGGCCCTCTCTGGGCATCCGCGCGGACCTCCGCAGGACCTCCAGAGGGGTCTGATTGGCGGCAATCGGTTGCAGTCCCTGGGAGATCTTGCAGGATCGAGCTTCGAGGCGTCTGAGCGGTTCGGGCAGTCTCTGGGCTCCATGCTCAGTCCTCGCAGTTCGATCCTCCAATCTCGATCGAGGAGGATGGTTACGATACTCGAACCTCGACGCTCGATCCTGATACCTCGGTCTGGACTCATCCGAAATATTCGACCCTTGTAACACAATTCTCGCACCTCGTGGATCGAGGCCAGAACTTCTACGTATCTACCGCATGAGGACACCTTACCCAGGACCCATGGGGCGGTATGTATGGGTTTTGTTGGTCCCCAGGGGGCCCGATATCAATTTCTGCCGCCTCCCGCGGTCCTGGAAAATCGTATCCCGGTCGGTGGATATGCAGAACTCCTGGCCTCGTCGCATCGACCCTCGAACCCAGGAGGATAGACCCTTGAAGATCATCGAGCCTAGATCCTCTAACCTCGAAGGTCCTTGAATGATCGGGCCACCAAAGTCACGGTAATGATAGGATCTGGGATTCTGACAAACGGCCCTGGATTTAGAAGATACGTTGTTCTGCGTTTACTAAATGACGTTTGATTACGCGGCACAGTTTGATAGATCCGTTTCTCGCTTGATTAAATCATCGCGTGTCCAACAATCTGTTTTAAGAATGCGCGATCGTTCATTACCATGACCTGCGTTAGCAGGTGATTGAACCTCGAGGATCCGCGGACCAATCGTCATCCTCGAACCTCGAACCTAGAGGGTCCCCGACCGGAGAAAAGGGTCTGGCTCCTCTGCGCCCTCTGCCATCGAGAAGGGCCCTCTGCGGACAAGTCGGGCATGTCCCCCTACAGGGGGATTGTGGACGAAATGAAGAATACCCAGAACAGATTCAACAACAGTCCAAAAGTGCTCAATGAATCGTCCCCAGGCCCGACTTAACTCTGCGGCGCGGCACCCGAACGCGCGGGAGGCCTGCAGCTGCCTCAAGGCGCTGTCGTTGATGACCTGGTTCACCACGTCGCCGGGCACCTCCGCGGGCGGGGGCGGCGGGGGGCTGCAGACTTGCCCGCGCCGCAAGACGAACACTGTTGACCTCTGGGCCCGGGACGTCGGTGACGGGGGGGGAGGAGAGGGGGGGCCGGGGAGGGGGGGTAGTGGTAACGATTGGGGTGGGGGCGGGGGGGGGGGGGCACGCGTGCACCGCAGCGCCTGTGCACGGCGCCTTTGCATACCACACCGCCTGCGTACACAACAGCAGCCCCGTGTGCAACACAGCGCGGGTGCACCCCGCTGAGATCGATCATGAGGTCGATATTGAGATCGACAGGTGTCCCGTCCCGTGGTGGCCCCGTGGTGTCCCGTATAGATAGATCGATAGTGAGATCGATAGTGGGATCGACAAGTGTCCCGTGGTGTCCCATGGTGTCACGTTGAGTGAGATCGATCGAGAGATCGATTGAATCAAATGTTGGTTCCCTCCCTCTCCCCCCCAACCTCCTCATCACCCGGAGGGTGGTCGTATAGATGTATTTTCACCTTCAGAGAGAGGGAAGGAGAAGGAGAGATAGAGGAAAAGAGAGGGATAGAGAAAGAGAGAGAGAGAGGAACCGAGAGAGAGAGAGAGAGAGAGAAAGCGCAACAACACATTAAATAAAGGGAGAGAGAGAGAGAGAGAGAGGGGGGGGCAGAGAGAGAGAGGGAAACACAGAGAGAGAGAGAGAGAGGGAGAGAGATCGATAAAGGGAGGGGGAGAAAGATGAGGCGCCCAAGAGACCCCCAAGAGGTCCCCCAAAACTCCCCCGAGGTGCACCAGATGCTCCACGGGGCCCCCAATACAGCCAACAGGACCCCAGGACGCACCAAAAGGACTCCGAGAAACTCCAAGTAGACATCCGAAGAGACTCCACGAGGCATCCAAGGGGCCTCTGGCCTTGCGGCTCGCCCTCCTCCTCCTCCTCCTCCTCCTCCTCCTCCTCCTCCTCCTCCTCCTCCTCTCCTCCTCATACTCCTCCTCCTCATACGCCTAGTTATCATCCTCCCTCCTCCCCTTTTTCCTCCCCGTCGTCGTCGTCGTCCTCCTCCTCCTCCTCCAATTCCCCCCCCATCCGATTAGGGTATTACGGCTTCCCCAACTTGTGTTATTCCACCGCGTGCTTCTCCACATACCTGATCAATGCAACTCGCCCGGGCATCGTTTCAAGATGGGCCCGTGGGGTTATGCGAAGCGCTTGGGTTAGAAGGAGACACCGAAACAGAGAGAGAGAGAAAGACAACAAAAGCGCGCATGCGGTCCTGCACTGTGAGGGTGTCGACCGACGTGATGTCCTCCAGCTCCTCGGCCGGTGCCGCAATCGCAAGAGGACGCCAAATACATACACCAGCGCGGGTCCTGGCACAGGTCGGTCTCGGCCAAAGACCAGTGTGTATATATATATATATATACAGGCATACATCCATACACATATGTACATAACTGTATATATACACACATATGTGTACATGTTTTCTGTACTGAGAATTGGCCGTGCCATCCCCCAGGGACGGCCTGGAATAGCTTTTATCTTTTATCGTTTATCGCGTTCGCAACGAAGCATATTTTTACACACAAAAGCTGGATTAAAGATTCGGCGCCCAGTCGCTACTCGGAAATTTCCCCAAGTACAAACCACGTGAATGCAAATTCTGAATGCTACCAGCGGAGGAAAGGGGGACCGAAACGAGGGAGGAAGCAAAACGAAGGCAAAAAGAAGGCATGGAAGACTTGAGCAAGTACGTCGACGGAGGAAGTCGATGCGGCGAACCCACCGAAAATGAGGGACATCACCTATACTTGTTAAAAGCGACCAGGGGCTAAATTACCCCTTCCACCGTTCATTTATCTGTATATATACACACACTCGTAAATATACACTATAGATACGTGCAACTATATCGTGTCTGGAGCAAGGCACATTTTTACATGCGCAAATTTGTTGAAATATTCGGCGCCCAGGCGCCCCTCGGAGACTCCCAGACCCGAATGGAAAAGAATTGCCCATTGCCGACAAATCTCGGAAATAACATCCTAATTAGGCTTTGAAACTCTTCCGCAATACAGATACACGCAACGATTCATCGGCATCGATCATGATCGACGCAGTTGCACGAGAGAGCGGGCGGGGATAGGTAGAGGCAATGGAGGTCCAGTGTCGGCCCCCGGGAGCGTGACCCGAAAGCCCTGGTGAAGCAGGCTGGTTCGAGATCACCGCTTGCCATCTGCACTACAATATCTACACAGCCGGAAAACGTCACCTGCTCGAAAGGCGACTCTACGCGCGCACTTCTTCCAAGGGGTTCCAAATTGACAGTGGTGCAAACGAGCCTCACAACAGACGACGCCACGTCTAAGAAATTGCAGCAGGCTGGCATGCCACATCAACGAGCTATCTGGATTATCGAGGTTAATGGGAACGCGCATTCCTCTACACACGTCAATAAAACGGCAGGAAGCATGGAAGGTAGCATTGCCAATCTTCAAACGAGCCTGCTGAGCAACAACGAGGGAGGCCAGGCCCATAGGACAAGACATGCGGCAAAGTGGCTGCCTGAACGCCCGAGACCATGAGGTGTAGGGGGTTCCGAAACAGACCCCCTGCACTGTTCCAGAGGAAATCCACACCTCCAGCAGTCTCTCCATCTCCACCACTCTCAGTAGCAGATTGCCGTCCACGCCCATAATGTTCAGAGACAAGACGGCGCATCCGGGGGCCTTCAGTCTATCGCCAGCGCCCCCCGATCCAGAGAAGAGCTCCAGGAACACGCAGCGGCGCCAGCGCGCAGCTCCTCGTAGGGCGGCTTGGAACTCTTGCCGCAACTGGCGGACCACGCCAGCGACCGATCGGCTCAGCGGCGGCGGGTTGCCCGGCAGGCGCCCGCCTCGGCGGCAAGCCGTTTGCGGCCTGGGCGTTCCCAGCTCTGGAAGTCGGAGCTCGGCGGCCCAACGGTTGTCGCTTCCACGAGCCGTCTAAGCTGCCGGCTGGGCGGATCCTACAGCAGGGGGCATCCCCCACGGCCCGCTGGAAGAGCCGCTGTACGCCCGCCGAATGGAGGCGATGAGGAAAAACTACGCGTAGTGGCGGCGAGCAGCCGCGCATCAGACTATGATTGAAAACGCACGCGCCGAGAATACCTTCCACCTATCAGCCATGGCGAGAAAAACTATCACCGAAAGCCTACATGCCGCCACGTTGGTCCTGGGCAAGCAGTGCTGTCCGGCGGAAAGGGACGAGGAGGGGAGAAGCAGGCTGACGACGACGAACGCCCAAACGGGAGGCCGGGCCGGCGGGGCGGGGGGGCAGGCAGAAGAGGGGCCAGGCGGGGACAGCAGGCAGGGAGCAGGAGGGAAGAAAAGGGAGGGAAGCAACGCGCAGAAAAGGAGGGAGGAGGAAAACAAGGAGGGGAGGGGAAACAACCGCAAGCACACAGGCCAGGCCAGGGCCAGGGGTTGGGCACGAAAAGCCGCCCGCGACGAGGCTATGGACCCCACGGCGGCGACCTGGGCGGGGTGGCCGACCGAGCCCAACATGATGCGGCCTGGTGGGTGTCGGTAGCATTCCTCTGGAACCACCGAGGTTCTCTCACGAGAACTAAGGAACCAAACGCACAAAACGTGAAATGTAAGGGAATCGAAGAGATCCGCTCGTATTTTTGATTGGCTCAGGAGCCCCTCGGAAAGTGATCAGTAAGAGCGTCGGTGCGAGCACGCGCGTGCGTCAGCACACGCACACCGAACCAACCACATGTCATACACTGCAGCGCGCTGCTTCATTAGATATCATGCGAAGTGAAACTACAGTTGATCGAGACACTCTGGTCATGGTAACGATAAGATTTGGGATTTCGGACAACGGCCCCGGGTTTAGAACATCCGTTTCTGAATATCGTACACAGGTGTTTGCGTCTACTAAATGAAGTACATCCTTGTGTTAACTAAACGGCGCAATCTACTCAATCCGTCTCTCTCGCTTTGGTAAATCATCGTCGTTTCAATAATTTGTTTTAAGAGCGCGCGTTCATTCGCTACCATGACCTACGCTCGCCAGTGAAAGCTGGCACGGGTCCTGTGCCATTGACACAGGGGGGAGCAAGGGACACCTTTAGGCCCGTCCCCCCAAAATGGTATGAACGGACGGGCTTGCAAACGTGCCATCATGCCAAACTGAACGCAATCTCCCATGGTCAATCTCGTCTCCTGCTGAAGACTCAAACTCGGCGTTCAGGGGCGCCGTCTGTTCGAACTCTCTCAAGAACTGAAGCCTCGGCGTGGTCAAATCACGCCTGCGCGGGCGCTGGCACTGGGTGCTGGCCGTCCGCTTGAGCTCCATGATCTCTGGCGCACATGCAGCTGGGTCAGTCCATCTTCCAGATGCTGGCGCGTGTTGGCCTATCTCTGAATTCCTCCGAACTCGCGCATGTCCTCTTTGACCTGCGAGATCTGGGCCCCAGTCCTGCGCTCCGCCAAACCGCCAGCAGCCGCCTGAGAGTTCGAAAACAGCGCCTTGCAGTCCGCGATGAAAGGGCTACGCCCCAACATTTGCAACATCTCCGTGCCCGTCAGCTGCAGCATGGGAGCCGGCATCGTCGCGAGCATCGCCTTCGCGAGCTCCAGGGCGCCCGCCGCGTTCACTGCGTTCTGAGCCTCGCCTTCCGACGAGCTCCGGCAGATCCTCGCAGGCCCCTTGCTCGCCGGGTCAACGATCGCCAACTGCGCCCGCTGATCGTCGTCGGCCCCGGCGTTCCCGATGGCAAAGATCACGTCGCCGCCTCGCGCCTCGCAGCTTGTCCTCGCAACCCGGGACGCGCCCCAGTAAACTCCGAGACTCAGCTTGCCCCGCGCCCACGCGCATTCGGCTCGTGCCCCCGCGTCGCCACTCGCCTTCAGGAGCCCCAGCGACTTGTTGGTCCCCAGTGAACTGCCCGCCGTTGCAGCCCGGGCGTCGCCCTGCGCAGGACGGAACCGCCGCCGACGCCTGCGCAATGCACTGAGAAGCTGGCCGTTGCATGGCTCAACGCAGACCTCTGAGCTGGCTGATCTCCTTCGATGCGCGCGGGTCGCCGGGGTGCATCCTCCTCGTCTTCTGTGTCGATCGGCATGACGTTGCCGGGGTGCATGTAGGCCTCGGTCCTCGGTCCACTTCGAACACGTCGCGCGAGAACGACTGCTCATTCTCCATGCCGCGGATGAAATTGCTGTTCGAGAGCTCGCACTTGCCGAACTTGAACCTCTGGCTGAGCCTCTGCGACCGATCCAGGAAGGTGCCCTCGTGCGCATGCTTGTTGATGAGATCCCCCTCGCGCTCGAAGTTCTTGCCGCCGGCGATGAAGTCTTCAACGTGGAGCCCCAGCACGCCGTCTGACACGCAGTGCTGGTTGGCGCCCGCCTGCCAGACTAGGAACTGATCACTCCCGCCTAAAGCCAGGCAGCGCGACAGGACGCAGCACCTGTCAAGCGCGCGCTGAAGGAAGCCCACCTCGAGCATGGCCTCCGTGATCGTCTGATTTTACTGCATTGGGGTCCCGCGTCTCCGAACGCGGGCAGCAAACTCTGCAATCTCTCTCGTCATCCAGCAGGCACATCAGGCACATCACCTGCGACAGTCGGCGTCGCGCGCCCTTCGTCGGGCTGCTGAAGATCCGAACTCCACGTTCTCTGATGCCCTTTGCCCGCAACCGCGCGCCCTTCGCGCCCGCTGCCGCCATCGCCCATGCTTGCCAGCGCAAGATGAACAGGATCAGTTACCTCGCCAGTCGCGCGAGAGCAGGGCACGCCATCTCCGCGTCGGCGCTGGTCACCCCCTCCAGGCGGACACCCTGTAGGATCACCCTCGCGCTCGCCTCCTCCACCCCATCCTTCATCTTCCACTTCGACAGGAAAAAACACAGGGCGCATTTCTCCAGCGTCCACCGCATGCCCCTCCGCTGCCTGCCATGCCTGGTTCTCGATTCATGGTTGCAGCACCTTGGTCTTCGCCCCGTCGAACTTCCCGCGCTCGCCTGCGCTGACCCTGGCCTTCACCGCCGAATCCTTTCTCGCCGCGCTGGCCAGGAAGACCGCGTCTGCGACCTCGCACAATGGCAGCAGCTCGTCGCCGTCGCTGCCACTCGCAGCGACGGCAATCGACGCTACGTCGGTCTGCTCGGTCGGTTCGGTAGGTGGTCGCAGTCCGCCTCATCGCCTGGCCGCTTTGATTGCGTCCAACAACTCGTCACCGTCCACGGCCGCGTGCTCTTCCGCCGTCCTTTTCTCTCCCGCGGTCCGGTTCGCCATCTGCTCCATCTCGACGTTCTCCTGACTT